TAGCGGCCCGTGCTGCGACGGTTCTAACGTCCGCTCACACTATAGCGATGCTGTTCTGTCTTGGGCTCTAGCGGACGTGTGCGAGCGGTTTCAATGTCGTCATCACATAGCGATGCTGCTTCTCTTGTTGGTCTAGCGGCGCGTGTGCGGGCGGGTTCAACGTCCGTACATCACCTATAAGCGATGCTGTTCTCTTGTTGCGGCCTCTAGCGGCCTGTGCGAGCGGGTTTCTAACGTCGTCAATCACTATAAGCCGATGCCTGTTCTCTTGTTGGGATCTTTAGCGGCCGTGTGCGAGCGGTTCTCTAAACGTCGGTATCACTATAGCGATTGCTGTTCTCTTGTTGCGTCTAGCGGCCGTGTGCGAGCGGTTTCTAACGTCGTCATCACTATAGCGATGCTGTTCTCTTGTTGCGTCTAGCGGCCGTGTGCGAGCGGTTTCTAACGTCGTCATCACTATAGCGATGCTGTTCTCTTGTTGCGTCTACGCGCCGTGCGTGCGAGCGGTGTCTAAACGTCGTCAGCACTCTATAGCGATGCGTTCTTCTTGCTGTTGTCTAGCGGCCGTGTGCCGGAAGCCGGTCTTCTGAACATCGTCCATCACTATAGCCGATGCTGTCTCTTTGTTGCGTCTCCGGCCCGTGTGCGAGCGCGTTTCTAACTGTCGTCATCACTATAGCGAGGCTGTTCTCTTGTGGGGTCTAGCGGCCGTGCTCGCAGCGTGTTTCTAACGTCGTTCATCCACTATAGACGCATGCCTGTTCTCTTGTTTACGTCTAGCGGTCGTGTTGCGAGCGCGTTTCTAACGTCGCTCTCACTTATAGCGATTGCCTGTTCTCTATGTTGCGGTCTAGCAGCCGTGGTTGCGAGCGGTTTTCTAACGTTGTCATCACAATATAGCGATGCTGCTTCTCTTTGTTGCACTCTAGCGCCTAGTTGTAGCCGAGCAGGGAGAGTTCATATGTAACAACACGGAGTGTCGGCCGGCGGGCTGGCCTGTGCGACGGCGACGATGACTGCGGGAGACGGCAGCGACGAGATCATGGAGATGTGCGGTGAGTCCGCGCGCGCACCGCCAGGGGGCGCTAGTGCTGACCCGCGTCGCGTCGCGTTATGTTTTGTTGCGCGACGTTACGTTGCGTTGATGTTGGTTACATTGCGTTACATTGTGTACAATTGCATTACGATAATTTTTCACATTTTCATTCACGTTTTCATCGCCATTTTCTTTTCCTCTCCGTCGTATGCGCTGGGTCGTTTGCATGACCTCTCCCACCCCCCATCTCTCCCTCATCATTCCATAAATGCTGTGCATTTCATTACATTTGCGTCACCTTACAGATTATATTTGCATCATTTGCATCACCTCTCCCCCGTCTCTGTTTCCCTCGATCTTGTCCTTCAAACTCTTCCACTTATCGTTCTTGCAGAGATGCTGTATATTACGTTACATTAAATTACATTATATTACACTATATTATATTACATTATATTACACTATATTATATTACATTATATTATATTACATTAAATTACATTAATATTTAAATTTTAAATTAATTATTACACTATATTATATTAACAAATAAAATATATATAACACTATATTATATTACACATTATATTACACATAATATTATATTACATTATATTACACATAAATATTTAAATTAGCTCATCTGACATAGTGTAGATGCAGTGTAGAATTCGCTTGATCGTCCGTCCGCTCCGTTCCGTCCGTCGGTCGTCCGGTCGTCCAGTCAACAGCTTGGGCACAAAATCTTAACGCCTCGACGTACGGTCACGATATTCGCCGTGTCGTGGGGCGGATCGTTCAAACGAGTTGGGATGTCGAAGCTGGGCGGTCAACAGTCAAGGTCAAAGCGTCAAAGATTGCGTGCTAAAGAAGGGGGAACATTCACTCCTTAACTTAAGCGTATATAGGAGGAAATGCCCAGAATTGCAGCACAAATCTACGGCGCTCGACCTTAGGCTCGTGAATAGTCGTGTATAGCATTATGGTCAGGATAAAGCCATCACTTGTCGACATTGGAGGTCACAGGTCAAGGTCAATTGCGCACAGCGGCAGATTGATAGACATTTTCTGAGGACCATGCGTGCTGACGGAGCCGATGAAAAACTTTTTGTTTCAGCGGTAACCTAGGCATTTTTATGGCCTTTATTGATAAGGCACCATGAAATGTCCCTTCTGCTGACATTGCGAAGAGTAAGTGTCGGATAACCTTTTGCACCTCAATGAGGAGGGTTAAACATGCGATTTGTTGCACTGTTAACAAAGGCAGTTGAACCTGCTTTTGCCTATTAGCCCCTCCCCTCCCCCTCCCCCCGCCCCTTCCCCCACCCTCCCCCACCCCCTCCCCCACCT